CCAGCAGCAGCCGCCGTCCCAGCAGCAGTCGCCGCAGCCGTGGGCCCGTCTCCCGCCTGGCTGGCCCGGCACCTCCGGAGGTAGTGGCCGCGGTGGCGGCCCGCGCAGCTTGGCGTCTAACGGCGGCTCCGGTGCTGTCACCTGCCGGTACCAGCTTCAGACCGGGCCTCTTCGCGGCACTCTGTGCCGCCGCCCGCACCCGACCGCCCGATGTTTCCGCCGCCTCGACGATCTCTTTCGTCGTCGCTTTGGCCCGGCCCTAGACCTCCCCGACTGGCACAGGCTGCTCCGCCAGAGCGTGCCGATCTTTGAGTTAGACATAGATCAGATAGGTGTTGCTTTGCATGCTTTGTATTCTGACGCTTCTAGTGTTGCTGGATCTTATTACCCTGTGTACTCTAGTTTAGGTGTTGCACCATTGTGTAGCTTAGCCTCCCCTGCTGCGTCAGGCGTAGGACTGCCTAGCTTGCCTAGTCTAGTCGCTGCAGCGGCTCCGTCCCCGTCCTCCGCCACTGCTTCGCTGTCCTTCACTCTCGACTCCGGTGCTTCTGCCTGCTTCTTCCGCAACCGTTCCACACTCACGACGCTTGCTGCGCCCGCTGTTGTCTCTCTCGCTGACCCCTATGCGGGTCCTGTCATCGCTCGCAGTTCTACGTCCCTTCCCTGTCCAGCAGTTCCCTCGGGCTCCCTTACAGGCCTCCACGTTCCCTCGTTCTCGAGGAATCTGGTTGGTGTCGGCTGTCTCCAGGACCTCGGTGTCACCACCACGTTCCCCAGGCACGAGCGGTTCGCTGTCTGTTCTGAGGCTGTCTCAGGTTCCCCCCTTGCGACGTTCCCCCGGGACCCGGTGTCCGGTCTGTTTACCCTAGACACCGCTTCCCTCCCGGTTGGTGCGTCCTCCCAGGTCGCTGCAGCTTGCTCGTGTCGGTCCCTCACTCACCCGTCCCTTCTCTGGCACCACCGCTTAGGCCACCCTGCTCTCCCGCGTCTGCGTCACATGTCCCAGCACGGTCTTGTCTTAGGTCTCCCCACGTCGCTCCTTGCCATTCCTCCCTCGACTGCGCAACCGTGCACGCTTTACGTCGAGGGTCGGCTCCGCCGTGCTCCTCACTCCTCCTCGCTGCGCCGTGCTACTGCCACCCTCCAGACCCTGCACCTGGACGTTTGGGGCTGTGCCCCCGTCCCCGGACCGCGCGGTGAGCGCTACTTCCTTGTGCTTGTCGACGACTACACGCGCTACACCACGGTGTTTCCCCTGGAGCGGAAGGCCGACGTGCCCGACGTTCATCTCTCGTGGGTTGTGGCTGCGCGTCTCCACCGCGGTCTCCCCATGTTGTGTCTCCACTCGGACCGTGGCGGCGAGTTCGCCTCTGGTCGGCTTGGACAGTTCTGTCGTGCGGAGGGCATCACCCAGTCGTACACCTTGCTGGACTCCCCACAGCAGAATGGGGTTGCTGAGCGCCGCATCGGCTTGGTCATGGAGGTCGCCCGTATCTCCATGATTCATGCCGATGCCCCCCATTTTCTGTGGCCGTTCGCTGTTCGCTACGCTACTCACCAGCTTAACCTGTGGCCACGCTCCCAGCGGCCGCAGGTTTCGCCGACCCTCCTTTGGACGGGGTCCCCCGGTGACGCATCTGCGTTCCACGTCTGGGGCTGCCTTGCTCACGTTCGTGCCTCTGGCACGGACAAGCTCAATGCCCGCACTGTCCCCTGTGTCTTCCTCGCTTTCCCCCTGGACTCGTCTGACTGGCTTTTCTACCACCCGCCGTCTCACCGCTTCCTCCACTCTCGTGACGTCACCTTTGACGAGTCTGTCTCCTTCTACCGCCGCTTCCCTCACCGAGGTCTCCCGGTTGCCCCGCCCCTGTTCCTTGCTCCCTCTCCCCCGGTAGCCCCTGCTCCTCTCCCGCCTCGTCCTGCCCCGTCTGGTGTCTCTCACGTCACTCCCCTCCCGTCGGTTGTCCCCGTTGAGGAGTCTGCTAACTCTGGTGGTCCCCCCGGCCTGTCCCTGCCTCGTCCCCCTTCCCCGGTGTCTCCGCCTTCCCTGCCGCACTCGCCGCCGCCGCCACCGCCGTCGTATTCGCAGTCACCGCCACAGCCGCAGCCGTCGCTGCCGCCGTTGGCCTCTGGGGGTGCTGGCGTTGAGGAGGGTGTTCGTTCTGCGGCTCTCGGGGGTGCCGCTGGAGTTGGAGGGGGTTCTTGCTCTGGGGGTGTTGGTTCTGGGGGTGCTGCTGTCGAGGGTTCCACCGACGGTCGTCCTGCCTCTGCCGGTCCAAGGGTTCCGGCCCAGCTGTCGCAGTAGCCGCAGCAGCTGTCGCCGCCGGTCTCCGCTCTCCGTTTGCTCGGCCTTCCCTCCCCGGACCGCGCGCCGGTGTCTCCCCCACCGCCTGCTGGCCTTCGTGTCTACGGTTCTGTGTTCCTGCCGCCGGACTCGTCTCCGGCCCGTCTTCCTCCCCGTTCCCCTCCTGTGTCCCCTCCGCTGTCCCCTGACCCTACACCTCCGTCTCACGTTTGGGCTCGTCGTCCCTCCCGTGCTCGTCCCGTCTCTCCTTTCCTGCCCACCCACCCTATGTTGCTCCGTTTTCACTCGTCTCATCCTCCCCTCCTCCCGTCCCCTCCTCCCTCGTCGCTTGCTGTTGCACCTCCTCCGTTCTCTGACTACCTCCGTGCCGCTCGTCCCCTTGTCCCTCGGGTCCTTGCCTCTCTTGTTACCGACCCTACTGTTCCTGTCTTGCGCCTTGACGCGCTTGTCGTTGCTGTCGCTGCCTTCGCCTCTACCCACCGCCTTGACTACGCTACCGCTCTGGTCTCTGCCCCTGCCCGTCCTCCGTCCGTCGGGGGTGCTCCTGCCCTTGGAAGTGACGTCTTAGAGGACAGGCAGTACGAGCTTGCTTTCCTTTCCGAGGCTGCTCCCCATCTCTGCTCCATGCTGTTAGTCCGTGAGGGTGACCCAGACGCCTTCGACATCCCGACCCCTCGCACCTACGCTGAGGCCACCTCGGGACCTTGGGCCTCTCAGTGGATAGCTGCCATGGAGCTGGAGATGGCATCTAGGAGGTCCACCGGCACTTACGTCGACGCAGTTCCCCCACCTGGGGTGAACGTAGTCGATGGTCGGTGGCTCTTCAAGGTGAAGTGCCCCCCCTGGAGAGCCGCCTGTCTTCAAGGCGCGATACGTGGCCAGAGGTTTCAGTCAGCGAGAGGGGGTTGACTTCTTCCAGACCTTCGTCCCGACCCCGAAGATGACCACTCTTCGGGCGCTGCTACACGTAGCAGCACAGCGCGACTACGAGCTTCACTCCCTCGACTTCTCTACTGCCTTTCTTCAGGGCAGCCTACACGAGCAGGTCTACCTGCGCTGACCACAGGACTTCACTGGTACCTTCCCCCCTGGGACCCAGTGGCTTCTCAGGCGCCCGGTCTACGGCCTGCGTCAGGCTCCTCGCGAGTGGCACGACACGCTGCGTGCCACGTTAGCAGACCTGCAGTTCTTTCCGTCCTCTGCTGACCCCTCGCTATTTGTGCGTTCCGGCCAGACTCCGTTCTACATCCTTGTCTACGTAGACGATCTGGTTTTCGCTACTGCTGACAGGGACGCACTGGCCTCTGTGAAGGCCGAGCTTCTGAAGAGACACACCTGCACTGACCTTGGAGAGCTGCGTCGCTATCTTGTCCTGCAGATCTCTAGGGACAGAGCAGCACGCACCATAACTCTGACACAGTCACACTTGGTGCGTCAGGTCCTTCAGAGGTTCGGTCTTCAGTTCTCCTCCGCACAGCCCACACCTCTACCTGTAGACCATGGGCTCTCCGCTCCCGTTCCTGAGGAGCCAGTAGAGCCTAGTGGCCCCTACGCAGAGCTGGTGGGTTGCCTCATGTACCTGATGACTTGCACTCGCCCAGATCTCGCATACCCTCTCAGCATCCTGGCTCGCTTTGTGGCTACAGGCAGACACGGACCTCAGCACTGGTCTGCCGCTAGGAGGGTTTTGCGTTATCTTGCTAGTACATCGGGCATGGGGTTAGTGCTAGGAGGACGCAGGCCAGTGGTCCTTACTGGGCACACAGATACTTCTTGGGCAGACGACTCTGAGACGCTCAGGTCCTCCCAGGGCTACTGTTTTAGTCTTGGTTCGGGTGCTATCTCTTGGAGATCCACTCGCTCGTCGTCAGTGGCTCAGTCTAGCTGTGAGGCAGAGATCTACGCTGGTGCCATGGCGGCACAGGAGCTCCGCTGGCTGACCTTCTTGCTCACAGACTTAGGTGAGCGGCCTAGCTCTGCCCCGGTCCTGTACGCTGACAACAGGGCCATGATACTCCTGTGTCAGGAGCCTCGACTCGAGGGCAGAGCGAAGCATATCCAGCTGCGGTACTTCCTCATGCGCGAGCTACAGCAGCGCCGCCAGGCCCGCGTAGTTCACTTGGCCTCGGGTGCCAACACAGCTGATATCTTTACTAAGGCACTTGCGCCTAAAGATCATCAGCGGCACTGTGTACAGCTTGGTCGTGTTCCTGTAGCTACCCACCTGTTAGGATCCTGATTGTGTATTCTCTATTATAAATGCCTGTCAGACTGGCCTTGTGGCCTTACCTCCAGTGGCTGGACTAGTAGTGCCGCCCTGGCTTGCTTTAGTTTTGTTTGTATTCTTGCTGACTGGTCTCCAAACCCCTACCTCAGTGGTTGGACTAGTAGTGCCACCCTGCGATGTTTGCTTCTTGCTTAGGGGGTGTGTCAACTTATACATATTAGCTATGTAGAAGTTATAGGCTAGACTGAGGTATGCTTCTAGTGAGTACAACCAACTAGTATTTGTTCTAGGTTTCAACTTCTAGTCAATCATTTCAGTTCTTACTTTAACAAGCATAGTCATCATGATGTGAACCAAAACCCCTTACATACATTTTCACATCTTATTGCATATGCAGCCATGTGAGCGGAAAAATCTATCAGTTTCTTTGGAGGTTTTCTTTTTGGTAGAAAGAAAGAATACAACAAAAATGATATGAATTGAGACACATGGGGGGCAGATTACAACTGCAAGTAAATTCGTCATGTCTCATATTGCAACCTTGGTACTGAATGGAGCATCAGGCTACAATGGAAACCATGATGGATTCTACAACAGCAAGGGGGACCATCTGCAGCTCTCAAGGGAAACAAATTTGACGTTCCAAGAAACAATGCGCACATAATTTTGAGCGGTAAGCTGTTGCAAGGGCACGCAACTGGGCATGTATGAGAGTTCGTGGTATGTGGAGTTAGCATAGCACGACTTGCAGATGTATGTACAACCACGGAAGGAACTGCACCTCATCAGGAGCCCTTGTTTCCCCATGCTGGCGCCATCCCCCCTCCCGCTTCCACTGGCAGCCCCTTGTCGGCTGCTGCCCCTCTGCCTGCTGCCACAGCAGCGCCTGCCTCGGGTTGGGTGCAGCAGAGAGGAGTGGCGTGCGTGGCAAAGACAGCATGGGTGTGGCCCCAGGGGGGAGGCAACACCAATGGGAGGTGGTACCTGGCAGGCAGACATGGTTGATTGAGGGGCAAAAATGGTCTGTTAGGACGAAGAAAGTATACCACGGAACGAGGCAGAGAAGACAACTGCAATGGGTCGCTGCACGGACCAGGGGGGATGGAGGGTGATGGCAGTGCCGGGCTGAATGGCAGCCGCATGGGACGCGCTGGCGGCAGCACCAGCAGCAGTAGCAGCTGCAACAAACGTTGGCATGGTGTTGAGGGTGGTGGCGATGGTGGTGGGGATAATTGCAAGGAAGGGGCGTGGCTGCTGTTGTGGAGAGGTGGCATCTGATGGTGAGGGCGCAGTGGGTGTGGCAGGCAGAGAAGCAGATGGAGGGAAGAGCGGGGTGAAGGGGAATAGTAAAGCGGCGAGCACAAACTCTCACACAATTCTGAAGCACTTTGAGGCTATACCGCATGCCAAGCATGCACAGGTTGTGTGCTGTGACCCACCACACACACCCCTCCTGAGACCCACCACTCCCCTCCTCTGACCCCCAAACCCTTCACGGAAACTGCTACCCCTCGTGCTTTCGGGCGTCTCTTCGTGTGGGACTTGACCCTGGGTGTGCCTCAAGAGACACAAAGCAGTATCAAGCACCACCCCACCTCGAGGCTTCATGGCGTGGCTCTGCCGATTCTCGGCTCTCGGTGCAACTCCATCCCGCGCATCTCCATCCCGCGCATCTCCATCCCGTGTATCCCATCCACTGCAACGCCCACGCCAAGCGCCAGCAGGGTCGGCTGCAGCAGCAGTAGCAGAGACAGCGCCACCAGCATCCCTGGCATCATCAGGCGCTGCAGCGCCCAAATGACTGCCTCTGTCTCCTCCTCCATCTCTTTCACCCCCCAATGCAGAACTCGTGCCAGGCTGATATGGAGGCTGACTCATGGGAGCAGCTGAGCTGTCATGCTGCCGATGCTGCTGGCACATGCACACAGCTACGTGGCCCTCTAAACTCACACTCGTTACAGTCACATGCAAGGCCTGCCCGCCATCCCAGGGCGCCTGCGCCTCCCCTGGTGCTGTCCATGCGTGCTGCAGTGATTGTGCGCCAGGGGCTGCTTCATGCGTGCTGCCTGCCTGCATGCCCTGCTGCTGCTGCTGCTGCTGCCTGTGCTTCGCCTCAAACTGAGCCAGTCGGGACTTGAATGGCAAGCTGGGGAGGGGGGGATGATGGTGTGGCGTGAGAGAGCGAGGGGCAAAGGGAGCGAGGCAGAGGGGAAGAGGAACGAAAAGGTCATGTGAAAAAGATACTTGGAGCACGAGAAACGAGGATGTGGCACAAGTGGAACTTGAGGGTTACCTTGCGTTGGCGGTGGGGCCTCTCCCCCTGCCCCATGCGGAGGCTCCGGCGGGCGTTCTCGGGGTGGGCGGGGCAGACGAGCCCGAGGGGAGCGGCGGCAGGAGCGATGCGAGGGAGGTGCGGGCAGGGGGGGTGGCGAGAGGCGTGGGCTGCATGGGGGCGGAGGCGGGAGGAAAGAGAGGTGAATGGAGGGAGAGGTGAAGGGAGGGTGAGGTGAAGGGAGGGAGAGGTGAAGGGAGGGAGAGGTGAAGGGAGGGAGAGGTGAAGGGAGGGAGAGGTGAAGGGAGGGAGAGGTGAAGGGAGGGAGAGGTGAAGGGAGGGAGAGGTGAAGGGAGGGAGAAGTGAAGGGAGGGAGAGGTGAAGGGAGAGAGAGGTGAATGGAGGGAGAGGTGAAGGGAGGGTGAGGTGAAGGGAGGGAGAGGTGAAGGGAGGGAGAGGTGAAGGGAGGGAGAGGTGAAGGGAGGGAGAGGTGAAGGGAGGGAGAGGTGAAGGGAGGGAGAGGTGAAGGGAGGGAGAGGTGAAGGGAGGGAGAAGTGAAGGGAGGGAGAGGTGAAGGGAGGGAGAGGTGAAGGGAGGGAGAGGTGAAGGGAGGGAGAGGTGAAGGGAGGGAGAGGTGAAGGGAGGGAGAGGTGAAGGGAGGGAGAGGTGAAGGGAGGGAGAGGTGAAGGGAGGGAGAGGTGAAGGGAGGGAGAGGTGAAGGGAGGGAGAGGTGAAGGGAGGGAGAGGTGAAGGGAGGGAGAGGTGAAGGGAGGGAGAAGTGAAGGGAGGGAGAGGTGAAGGGAGGGAGAGGTGAAGGGAGGGAGAGGTGAAGGGAGGGAGAGGTGAAGGGAGGGAGAGGTGAAGGGAGGGAGAGGTGAAGGGAGGGAGAGGTGAAGGGAGGGAGAAGTGAAGGGAGGGAGAGGTGAAGGGAGGGAGAGGTGAAGGGAGGGAGAGGTGAAGGGAGGGAGAGGTGAAGGGAGGGAGAGGTGAAGGGAGGGAGAGGTGAAGGGAGGGAGAGGTGAAGGGAGGGTGAGGTGAAGGAAGCACAGAGCCGCCAAAGTCGCGGGATCAGACCAGAGAAATGAAGCACAAGTTAGAACGGTACATTGTGCGCGTGCACGTAGGATGGAGTGCGACATAAACCCATCGTGCCTGCCAACACCCCCCCCCGCCCCTATTCCACACCTGTCTATCACGAGTCTCTCCCCCCCCTCCAAGTCGGTCCATAGCCGTTGCCAGGGAATCAAACACCCCAAAATCCCGCTGGCCATGTTGCTGTTGCTGCTGGTGCGCTGGGTGCTGAGGCGCGTGACATGGTTGCTGCGCCGCCCCAATCTGCTGCTCAACCTGATATCGTTGCTCATGCTGCCAAATCGCATGTCCCTGCTGCTGCTGCTGCTGAGACGCCTGCAGCTGTGACAGCTGCTGCTGCAGCAGCATGGGTGCACCCACTGGTTCTGCCTGCGAGCTGTGGGATGCCACGGCTGCTGCTGGACGAACCTGCGCGCGAGCGAGTGAGTGAGTGAGTGAGTGAGTGGACACGGACACACATAGCACAGGTGGCCATTTACAGAAACGGCACACAAGCACTCACAGCAAAAAACCATTTGACAGAAAGCCCGCTGACCAGCGCAGCAAAGTGCATCATCCCCAACACACCACATGCTATCACACCAAGCACCATATGCTAAGACACCAAGGAAAGTATATGTTATGACACCAAGCACCATGCACCACGTATGAGCCATGCGAACCCTTTCTCACCATGCACCCACCTTCTCCTTCTTCCCTCGGTACCGCCCTCCTCTTCCCTTTCCCCCATGCGCCAGGGGGGGAGGCGCGCCTGTCAGCTGCAGCAGCTGCTGCGCCAACCCTCCCGCCGCCCCTCCTCCCCTGCCACCCCCCCGTGCCTGCCCCTGCCCCTGCCCCTGCCCCTGCCCCGCCTCCCAAGTGTGCCTCTGCGCTCCCGGGACCGCCGGCCCGGGTGAAGACTTGCTCAACGGCTGCCGCTCCGCCTGCGAGGCCTCAACAGGAGGGGAGGAGGCGGCGCGGGGGAGAGGCGGAGGAGGGGGGTCCAGCACGGGTGGAAGCAGAGAAGCGAGGCTTGGCGCTGACTTGGCGGTTGTGGTGCAGGTGGGTGCTGACGGGGCGATGGCTGCTCGAGCGGGTGCTGACACGGCAGCGGGTGCAGCAGGTGCGGCAGGTGCAGCAAGTGCGGCAGGTGCGGCAGGTGGGGGTGGGGCAGATGCAGGTGCAGCGGGCAATGAAGGGAGGTGAGCAGCAGTGGGAAGGCAGGGTGGCACGGGTGGGTGCGTGGAGGAGGCAGGCTCAGCGATTGCAGGCACCGGGGGACCGGCGGGCAGCAGCGGGGGCGGGTGCAGCAGTGAAGGCATGGCGGCGAGCTGCTCCAGCAGCCCCTCCGCCACGCGCCTGCTGTACTCTCCCTCACCCTCGCCCTCCCCGCCCTCGCCCTGCCCGCCCTCGACAACTGGCCCTGCCCCCTGCGCTGCCTCTCCTGCCTCGTGAGCCGTGAAGCCGTCCTCAGGAAAGCCATCCTCCTGCATGGCGAGGGCATGCGCGCGAGACATGCGGACACGAGGAATCACAGCCGCGGAATTGAGGACAATGCAAACAGTTGATTGAAAAGCAGCATAACGAAAGGCGGGGTGGTATGTATGGACCAGATAGGGACAGGATGGGGATGAAACAGGCAGAGATGCTGAGATCCATCACAGGTCCCACAGCACAGGTCCCACAGCACAGGTCCCACAGCACAGGTCCCACAGCACAGGTCCCACAGCACAGGTCCCACAGCACAGGTCCCACAGCACAGGTCCCACAGCACAGGTCCCACAGCACAGGTCCCACAGCACAGGTCCCACAGCACAGGTCCCACAGCACAGGTCCCACAGCACAGGTCCCACAGCACAGGTCCCACAGCACAGGTCCCACAGCACAGCACAGGTCCCACAGCACAGGTCCCACAGCACAGGTCCCACAGCACAGGTCCCACAGCACAGGTCCCACAGCACAGGTCCCACAGCACAGGTCCCACAGCACAGGTCCCACAGCACAGGTCCCACAGCACAGGTCCCACAGCACAGGTCCCACAGCACAGGTCCCACAGCACAGGTCCCACAGCACAGGTCCCACAGCACAGGTCCCACAGCACAGGTCCCACAGCACAGGTCCCACAGCACAGGTCCCACAGCACAGGTCCCACAGCACAGGTCCCACAGCACAGGTCCCCACAGCACAGGTCCCACAGCACAGGTCCCACAGCACAGGTCCCACAGCACAGGTCCCACAGCACAGGTCCCACAGCACAGGTCCCACAGCACAGGTCCCACAGCACAGGTCCCACAGCACAGGTCCCACAGCACAGGTCCCACAGCACAGGTCCCACAGCACAGGTCCCACAGCACAGGTCCCACAGCACAGGTCCCACAGCACAGGTCCCACAGCACAGGTCCCACAGCACAGGTCCCACAGCACAGGTCCCACAGCACAGGTCCCACAGCACAGGTCCCACAGCACAGGTCCACAGCACAGGTCCCACAGCACAGTCCCACAGCACAGGTCCCACAGCACAGGTCCCACAGCACAGGTCCCACAGCACAGGTCCCACAGCCACAGGTCCCACAGCACAGGTCCCACAGCACAGGTCCCACAGCACAGGTCCCACAGCACAGGTCCCACAGCACAGGTCCCACAGCACAGGTCCCACAGCACAGGTCCCACAGCACAGGTCCCACAGCACAGGTCCCACAGCACAGGTCCCACAGCACAGGTCCCACAGCACAGGTCCCACAGCACAGGTCCCCCCCCCCCCCCCCACAGCACAGGTCCCACAGCACAGGTCCCACAGCACAGGTCCCACAGCACAGGTCCCACAGCACAGGTCCCACAGCACAGGTCCCACAGCACAGGTCCCACAGCATATGATCACAACACGGACGGGATGGCTCTGATGACACGGCAGAGATGACACGGCACACATGACAGGGCACAGATGACACAGCGGAGATGACACGACACACATGATAGGGCACTGATGACACGTCACAGATGACGGGGCACAGATGGCATGGCAGAGATGATACAGCACACATGATACGGTGCATATGACACGGCACGGATGACACGACACGGATGACACGGCACCCACCCAGTCGTCAGCAGTGGGCGAATCAAACCATTGCAGACCCCACTTGGCCCGCTGCCACGTCTCTCCTCCTCCCTTCCCTGCCACGTCAGGTGCTGCCAAACCCTGCCACCTAGCTGTCATTCCCAAAGCAACTCCTCTAGCCTCTGCTGACTCTCCGAGTGCAGCGACGGCGACTTGTGCTTCGCCAATCAAACGCTGACACGTGGAATCAGGGTAAGAGTGGAGCAGGGAAGCATGAGGGAAATGGACGGACGGAGGACCCGAGGAGCTGCAAGCAGAATGGATGGAAATGATCATGACTGAGAGAATCGGACTCGGGTGACGCCACTCCACGATAGTTATCAACCAACCCATGCCATGCCAGGTGGCATCGCCGCGCCCCCCGCCATGCGTCCTCCCCTTCGCCCCTTCGCCCCTTCTCAGTCTCCCCTGCGTTCATGCCTTTTCCATTCACTTCCGCGCCTCCCCGTCAAATCCTCCCCTCCTGTCAGCATGGCATCCCAAGGCAGATCGTCTAAAGTGCGCGCATTCGCGCGCGCTCATGCCCCTCGCGCCACTCCGCTCACCTGTTGACCCGCGGCACATCTTCCGCCCGCGCCGCCCTTGCGCTTCATAAGTCTCTCCAGCGCGCCCCTGTCGTCCGCCATGTACACCACGCGCTCCCATACCCCCTCGCTTTCCGCCTCCCCCGCCCCCTCCCCCTCCCCTCGCCCCCACACAACCTCCCATGCTCTCTGGTTTGGACCGCCCCACCCTCGGTCAGAGGCCATCGCAGCGCGACGATGCGGGAAGCGAAATCTGCTGTGCGCGCAGTGAGATTGCTGAGAGCACGCCCGCTCTATCCTACACGGAAATCACTGATGCGCAGGTCCTGCAAATTCGTGATGAGCAGGAAGACTCCTCGGACACCCACGCAGAAGTCCGACTGCACTCATTAGCACGCCGTGCACATAAAGAGAGGTCAGGGCGGGTCCAAATAGTTCACAACCTATTCATTTCGCGAAAAGTAGCACCTTGTAACGCCAGGACACAAAAGAAACTGACGCGTAACGTAGGACACCCTTCACATGCGTCGGGCCAAGTACCAGATTTCGGATTGGTAAACGTTAAAAAAGCCGTGAGGTGCAAGATTCGGGGTCAGGGTTCCAAGTGTGTCGCGCCTCGATCTCGCCGCGCTGGCAGTGGCGAAGATCAGGCGACGTCGCGAATGCATGGTAATTTTCCCTGCCTGTTGTATTTTGCGTGTTGCGAAACAGATGTTTCGCGCAGGTATACATTTGGTAACTGTGTTCTGGGCCGTTGCGCGCCGTTCAGTTTTCTCACATCTCAACAATCGGTGTCCTGCTTGTGTGCTACGTGCGAACGGGGACAAAATTTCTGGTGTTTACAAATTTGGAGTCGTTTCATGGATCTGTACCCGAGTTCGTAAAATCGTGTCCCAAACCCCGAAATGAACTATTCGACCCGCCCACAATGCGAGTTTTGGAAGGGCCGCCTTCAACATGCCTTGATAGTGTCGGAAAAAACTACTGTTTGTCAACGGCCGATTCTTGTGGCTCGTGATTCGTGAAAGAGGTTTGAAATGTCGAAACCTACCATCCGAATTCGGTATTGGCGAAGTTCCATGTTACAGAAACTTCACTTCGCTTAGGCCTTACCCTGGGCTTGGACAAGGTACCAGATTAGTGATGCATTAAAAATCTACTACATATTAGTGATGCATGAGAAATCTACTGCATATTATCTCATAGGTAGATAAAAGCATTGCTTTGGTATTTTCTTGTGATTTATAGTTCTTCCATCAATATTTTTTCTCTTTAAAAACCGACCTTACAAGTTCTTGAGTACGCAGAAGACCATGGATCAGATCAGCAAAAATGAGACGTGATTTATACTCTGAAGTTAGTTCCTGACTTCATAAAGAAACATGACAAAGTAATATGTGGGTGGAGCACTTGTTTTCAATGCAGCTAGACTAGGTATGGACAAGCTTTACGTGCTGTTAAATCAAGCACACTATATTTATAGCGTGTCTTTATTGCGAGCCTCTTCCATAGTTGTCCTCTGAATGGCACCAAACGGGACTGCCGCGACTGTCCACGAAACTTTTCATGCTTTCGTGGATAGGCCCTACTTTCATGGACACCACATTGAACTTTTCCTTCTCCCGTGGACTCCGTCAATACTTTTGTGGACTACAGGCTTACTTTTATGGACACACGCGGATTTGAAACAAACAAAACACACAAAACTGTACAGACGCCGACGGGAGGAAAACAAGACAAAAATATGGCGTATTCAAGTCACTCGCAAATAGTCGCAAGCTACAATAATTGCAAGCTACCAAGTCCGCTAGTCGTTTCGCGTGTTTACAGAAACTCTGAAGTGACCCTCAAAATTCATCTGAATGACTGTGACCAAGCGGAATTAGCCGAATGACAAGTATAACAGATCGATTTATCAAACAGTGAAATTGATGAATAGAGAGAGAGAGTACACAAACATATACCTAACTGTTGTACTCTCTAGAAGATGACCCTATACAGTCTATACAAGCATGATAACTAAACATGTTTGACACACCCCCTGGACTGCATAGGGGAATGTTCTAGACAAGCAGCTCAGGGTGGCACTACTAGTCCAGCCTCTGAGACAAGGGTCTAAAAGACCAGTCAGAAGGAGTACAAGCAAGGCAAGAACTAGTACAGGGCGGCACTACTAGTCCAACCACTGTAAGAGGACACAAGTCCAGTCTGAGTGTACACACAGATATATAGGACAGTACAGAGTCAAGGCCCGAGTAAGTGAGAGACTACAGGAACCAGACCAAGCTGTACACAGTGCCGCTGATGATCTTTAGGCGCAAGCGCCTTCGTAAAGATATCAGCTGTGTTGGCACCGGAGGCTAAGTGTACTACGCGAGCCTGGCGACGCTACTGTAGCTCACGCAGGAGGAAGTACCGCAGCTGGATGTGCTTCGCTCTGCCCTCGAGTCGAGGCTCCTGACACAGGAGGATCATGGCCCTGTTGTCAGCGTACAGGACCGGGGCAGAGCTAGGCCGCTCACCTAAGTCAGTGAGCAAGAAGGTCAGCCAGCGGAGCTCCTGTGCCGCCATGGCACCGGCGTAGATCTCGGCCTCACAGCTGGACTGGGCAACAGACGAAGAGCGGGTAGCTCTCCACGAGACAGCACCTGAACCAAGGCTAAAGCAGTAGCCCTGGGAAGACCTGAGCGTCTCGGCGTCGTCTGCCCAAGAAGCGTCTGTGTGTCCAGTAAGGACCACTGGCCTGCGTCCGCCAAGCACTAACCCCATGCCCGATGTACTTGCAAGATAATGCAAAACCCTCTTAGCGGCAGACCAGTGCTGAGGTCGGTGCCTGCCTGTGGCCACGAAACGAGCCAGGATGCTGAGAGGGTATGCGAGATCTGGGCGAGTGCAAGTCATCAGGTACATGAGGCAACCCACTAGCTCAGCGTAAGGACCACTGGGATCTACCGACTCCTCAGGAACTGGAGCGGAGAGTCTGTGGTCCAGAGGAAGAGGGGTGGGCTGTGCGGAGGAGAACTGAAGGCCGAACCTCTGAAGGACCTGGCGCACCAAGTGTGACTGAGTCAGGATGATGGTGCGCGCGGCTCTGTCCCTGGAGATCTGCAAGCCAAGGTAACGGCGCAGCTCTCCAAGGTCAGTGCAGGTGTGTCTCTTCAGCAGCTCTGCCTTCACGGAGGCCAGTGCATCCCTGTCAGCAGTGGCAAAGACCAGGTCGTCTACGTAGACGAGGATGTAGAACGGAGTCGAGCCAGCACGAACGAAGAGCGAGGGGTCTGCAGAGGACGGAAAGAACTGCAGGTCAGCAAGGGTAGCACGCAAAGTGTCGTGCCACTCACGAGGCGCCTGGCGCAGGCCGTAGACTGGCCGCCGCAGAAGCCACTGGGTCCCAGGGGGGAAGGTGCCAGTAAAGCCCTGAGGGCGACGCAGGTAGACCTGCTCGTGAAGGCTGCCCTGAAGAAAGGCAGTGGAGAAGTCGAGGGAGTGAAGCTCGTAGTCACGCTGAGCCGCTACGTGTAGCAGCACCCGAAGAGTAGTCATCTTCGGGGTAGGAGCGAAAGTCTGAAAGAAGTCCACCCCCTCGCGCTGACTGAAGCCTCTAGCCACGTAGCGCGCCTTGAACACAGGCGGCTCTCCAGGAGGGCGCTTCACCTTGAAGAGCCAACGGCCATCGACCACGTTCACCCCAGGTGGGGGAACTGCGTCGACGAAGGTGCCGGTGGATCTCCAAGATGCCATCTCCTGCTCCATGGCAGCTATCCACTGAGAGGCCCAGGGTCCCGAAACCGCCTCAGCGTAAGTACGAGGGGTCGGGATGTCGAAAGCGTCTGGGTCACCCTCAGGGACTAGCAGCATGGAACAGAGATGGGGAGCAGCCTCGGACAGGAAAGCAAGCTCAAACTGGCGGTCCTCCAGGACGTCACTGCCGAGGGCAGGAGCACCCCCGACAGACGGAGGACAGGCAGGGTGAGAGACCAGAGCGGTGGCGTAGTCAAGGCGGCGGGTAGAGGCGAAGTCAGCGACCGCAGCGACGAGGGCGTCAAGACTCGACACGGGAACAGACGGGTCGGTAACGAGAGAGGCAAGGACCCGAGGAACAAGAGGACGAGCGGCACGAAAGGAGTCGGACAGAGGAGGAGACGCAACGACAAGAGAAGACGGAGGAGGAGACGGGAGGAGGGGAGGTCGAGACGCGTGGGAACGGAGCAACATAGGGTGAGAGCGCGGGACAGGGGAGACAGGACGAGCACGAGAGGGGCGGCGAGACCAGACGTGTGAGGGCGGCGTCGGGTCAGGAGACAGAGGAGGGGACACAGGAGGGGAACGAGGGGGAAGACGAGCCGGGGACGAGTCCGGCAGAGGGAACACGGGGCCGTAGACGGGAAGAGGGGGAGACGGCAGGAGAGGAACAGGCGCAGGGTCAGGAGACGGAAGGCCGAGTAGACGGAGGGCGGACACAGGCGGGGACTGCTGCTGCGGCGACACAACACCAACACCAGGGCCACAAGCTGCGCGACGGCTACCTCCCGAACCCTCCACACCTGCACCCCCAGAAGGGACACCCCCAGAGTCCACAAACGGCGGCAGCGACGACGGCGGCGGCGGCGGCGGAGACGACGGCTGCAACGGCGGCGGCGGTGGAGACGACGGCTGCAGCAGCTGCGGCGACGGCGGCTGCGGAGGCGGTGGAGGAGGAGACACCGGGGGAGGGACAGACGGCGAGGACTGCGCCGGAGGACTACCAGAGTCAGAAGACTCGTCGACCGGGACGACCGACGGGAGGGGGGTGACGTGAGACACACCAGAGGGGGCCGGACGGGGGGGCGGGGGGGGGGAGGGGCAGGGACCACCAGGGAGGGAGGAACCAGGAAAAGGGGGGGAGTAACCGGGGGACCACGGTGGGGAAAGCGGCGGTAGAAGGAGACGGACTCGTCAAAGGTGACGTCGCGAGAGTGAAAGAAGCGGTGAGACGGCGGGTGGTAGAAGTGCCAGTCGGACGCGTCAAGGGGGAAACCGAGGAAGACGCAGGGGAGGGTGCGGGCAGTGAGCTTGTCCGTGCCAGAGGCACGAACGTGAGCAAGGCAGCCCCAGACGCGGAACGCAGACGCGTCACCAGGGGACCCGGTCCACAGAAGGGTCGGCGAAACCTGCGGCCGCTGGGGGTGCGGCCACAGGTTAAGCTGGTGAGCGGCGTAGCGCACGGCGAACGGCCACAGAAAATGGGGTGCACCGGCGTGGATCATGGAGGTGCGAGCCACCTCCATGACCAAACCGATGCGTCGCTCAGCGACCCCATTCTGCTGCGGGGAGTCCGGCAGGGTAAACGTCTGGGTGATGCCCTCCGCACGACAGAAGCGACCAAGGACACC